CTTTTACTTTTAATACTTAAGTACAAAAAATATCTGATACTTTAAGACTTTTACTCAAGTAATATTCCTAAAGGAGACTTTAACTTTTGCCAATGTAATTTTTAGGTAAGATACTTCTACTTTTACTCAATTATCACGTTGAGGTACTTTATACAACACTGCAAGATTCAGTACAATTAAACATGGTCAGTTAAATCAAATTATAATGCAATAAAATCAGATTTAATATATATAACATATGATTAGAAAGATATCCATTTAAAGAAGCTAGGAGATTGCATTGAATCTTCACTTCCTCATCTCTCTTCCTGAGCTGAGTTGGTGACAGTGGAAGAATATTTATAGTTTGGTATATAATTAATATATGTATTATGTTATTTTATGAGCTGCACGGTGACTCAGTTGGTAGAGCTGCTGCCTCTCAGCAAGAAGGCTGCCAAATCAAACTTTTCTGGGTAGAGTTTGCATGTTTTCTCTGTGCATGTGTGGGTTTTCTCCGGGCACTTTGGTTTGCTCCCACAGACCAAAAACATGACTATTAGGTTGACTGGTAACTCTTAAATTGTTCCCAGGGATGTGTGAATGGTTGTTTGTCTCTATGATGGACTTGTGACTCAGGGTGTACCCCGCCCCTCGCATGGTGACTGCTGGAGGTGTGCACCAGTGACCCTAAAAGGAAAAAGCAGGTAAAAGATAAAGGGTGGACGAATTTTATGTAATTAAAAGCACATTTTAACCTTGTGAATCTAAATGTGTCATGCAGGCCATATTTCATAAGATTGATTGAATTGCAAGGTCATTTTGTCTGTCTTTTCCTGCCTAATCAAACTTGGGTAAATATTAACAGTTACAAGGGGCCACAACCTCCACAGATGCACACAACTCTGTTCAGCATCATTTGTAAAATAAAACTTTCAAAATCCAAGCTGTGTTCTTCTTTGATCATTTATAATCCAACACATCCCCCCCCACACCCTATTAACAATGTTTGTTTGATTTTTTTTTTTTTTTTTTCATTTCAAACTACTTCTTCTACCTCTCTGTTATTTTCTGGCTCCAGTGATCTTCTCTTATGTCAACAGTGAACAAATTTAGCAGTCTGGTTTCTGGAGCGACAAAATAGTCGGACAACAACAAAGGAAAAAGCGCGTGTGTGTCTGGGTGAAAGGAAAGATCCGGGCCATGCAGATACGATTACACACATCCAGACATGCTAACAGGGAAAAATCCAAATTGGTTTTAACGGACTGAGGTTTACTGGCACTGAGGCATGCAGGTGAAGGACAGTGTGACCACACACACACACACACACACACACACACACACACACACACACACACACACACACACACACACATGCTGTTTTTACTTCACAGTGAATTCCATGTTTACAACAAAAACCCATTTAGGAATTGAAAAATAAAATCATTCCTCTTAAGAAGTGGTGTTTTGTGCAGAAATGCTATAAGAGGATAAAGAGAGAGAATGTGATGAGTTATTCTAGGATGTTGAGATGGAGAGTACTGTCACCATGGAAACATGCAGATCCTCCACCACTCCCTGGGCCATGCCTTTCTGAAGCTGCCAGGGTTCTGGATGCCATGTCACCAGGGGTGTTAGGCCGTTCTTCATCGTTTTAGCCTGTGACGCACCAGATGCCTCAGACGCAGCAGTTTGTCGTTGCTGACGTAGATACAGGAGACAAAGCATTAGACTGATACATTTCATTCAACAATACTGCAAAATAACTCTTTTRGTGACATTTCCACCCTTTCTAATTTGCATTTTATTGATATAAACCTTTATTTAGGCAGGCAAATCCCACTGAGATCACAGACATCTTTTTTTAAATGAAGGCTTGGGCCTGAAGGCATTCTAAACAGGCTTGGTTTTGGACTGTGGGAGGAAACTGGAGCACCCACACAGAACGACACCCAGGCCCAACCCTGGACCCTCTTGCTGTGAGGCAACAGTGCTAACCCGCTAGGTTGTTGTGGAGCCACTTTTAGTTGAGCAGCTCAATTTAAAAAAATAGAAACTTTTGGAATTACTTTTCTATGCTGTATATTTGGTTTGCATCAATAGAGAATCATCAAATTTTTTCTGAATKAAGATTTATGAGGGCGTTGCTTCATCCGCCATGGTGAAGAAAGAGTTGAGTCAAAAAGGCRAAGATCTCAACCTACTGGTCCATATATGTTCATGAGGTCCAGGTTCAAGATTCTGGAGACACCTAGTCTTAGAGAGCTTCCTTCACATGGTGGCCGGACACGGCCTTTGAGATAAGGTGAGGAGCTCAGAGTAGAGCTGCTGCTACTTCTCATTGAAAGGAGTCAGTTGAGGTGGTTACTCTAAAGCAGAGGTTCTCAAACTGGGGTCCCAGGACCCCCAGGGGTCCGCGAGCTATAACTTGGGTGTCCTCAAAAAATTGTAATAAACTGTTAATTTAGTTTTTCATTAAAAAAAACTTCATCAGTGCAAAAGGGGAACAATTCACCAGTAAAATTAACTTACTCAACCAAATAAACAATAATYATTCTTATGGCATTCAGGCATTAAAATAGTAGTATCAGTTTTAAATCAGCATGAGGTTTATGAGGGGGTCCCTGGAATATTTTCACCTTTATAAGGGGTACTCAGACCTAATATGTTTGAGAAACCCTGCTCTAAAGCAGTGGTGTCCAAATTCAGTCCTCAAGGGCCAGTGTCCTGCATGTTTTAGGTGCTGCCCTGGTTCAACACAGCTGAACCTAAGGAGTGCTTCATTAGTGTGCTTCTGCAGACCTTGCTGACATACTGAAGAGGACTACTGCACTCCTTAGGTTCAGCTGTGTTGAACCAGGGCAGCACCTACAACATGCATGACACCGGCCCTTGAGGACTGAATTTAGACACCGTTTTAAAGGTTAGTAGTCGGGCACATCCCGATGCCCTGTAGCTGACCCATAACTCAATAGAGGACTTCTGTATCCTCTCTGGTCTGGGAACGCCTTGTGGTCCTCCAGAAGGAGCTGGAGTGTCGGTGGAGAGAAGGAAGTCWGGGTTTCTCTTCTGGACCTGTTGCATTTGCAATCCAACTACAGATAAGCAGTAATGGTGGAAATTTAAACTGGAGCCAGATATTTTTTAACTTCTAAATTGTTTTGATCTGTTTTTGTTAAAATGTTTCAATTTCCATGTTTTCAGTTTAAACTCACTTGGTGAATTTTTCAGCCTCAAAATCAAAGAAACGGCTAAACGAAACAGAGATCCAAGGGTGACTGGTTAAAATCTTATCAGACTAATTAATAAAGTTGAGTGTGTCAGTTTTGCATCTTGATAATCAACCTGTCAACATTTTCTAAATTTTAAAAAGGCCAATTTTTTAACCATTATCCCAAGTCTTCCCCGAGACTTTTATTTAAATGTACAAAATTAGAATTCCCTAAAGAAAATAAACCACACATTAACTATAGAAGTTTTGTTAAAAATCAATTAAAATTCTAATGCATAACAAGCAAATTAATTTAACTTTGCAACACTGAATGAAAAGGAACACTAAATTTAAAGCAAAGCTTTTTTTTTTTTTTTTTTGCATATGTGTGGTTTTACTGGAGTCATGATTGCATTTTAGAGGACAACTTATCAGGGGGACTTTCCACACACGGTATTTACTCTGAGTAACCGGCACCTAAATAACATCCTGGGCTTAAATAACAGCACCGTTTAGCTTCCAGCACAGTGGATGAGTAGTCTGCCCTACTTCTCAAGAGCAGGACAAAAATAAGTTTCAAGACGAGCAGCAGAGAAACGTGAGTAAGCAGAGAAGAGGTGCAGGTGCTGGAGCTCAGTCAAAGAAGAGAAGACACACAACAGCTGGTCTGTCATACAATGACTTATTCTTCAGCCAAAACACACACACACACACACACACACACAAACATTGTACATTAACTCTCCTGATGGTGAAAAACAAAAAGAAAAAACACCAAAGAACAATTTGATTTTAAACTTTTATTGCTTAAACAAAACATTAAAACTGTAACCAAAAAACTGTACCAAACGTAAACCTTCAGGGACGTTCCTTCTCTAATTACCATTAATGAGGTCTGCATCCTGTTGAAGATCATTTTTATGCATAATGATGCTGATAAATATAAATCAACTTTGTTAACATTGTTTAAAGCTTTCACATGAGTCCTAAGTTAGGCTCTAGTCATGACAACAGGCATGCTTTAAGTGTATTACAGGTTATTACTGAGATTATAGTTTCAGCATTTACAAGGTTGAAATATCACCATCTGCTGGCAAAAATATATAGCGCAAGAAAAAAGCAGATGAAGAAAAAAACTGTTTCGTAAGTCCAAATAAGAACCTATTGCCATTATCTGTAGACTATCTTTCAAGAAAGAATTAAGATATTTTTGTTTTTAGAGAGCGAATAGCATAAACAAGGTCCAGCGACACAATAATTACAAAATGCAGAACTAAAATAAAATTTACTATATACAAATTAGTCATATGGCAGTGAATCGGTTAAATCAAACTCCCTGTATATTTTTTATCAGTAAAATTACACATTACAACTCTATAACAAGAGCAGATTCTTATCATTTTAAACTGCATCATAAATAAATTACATACATAACGTACAAGTCTTTAACTTAAGTATGAGGTGTAAAAAAAACTGCAACACATTTTAACACAAACCAGCAATATAAGAATGTTTTTGCTGCACAGGTTTAGTGAATATAGTCAACACAACACAAACTATTCCCAGAAGAAAATCTACAGGTTTAACACTTCAGCTGCAGATTCTCAAATAAGTTACTTTTTAAGATTTAAACTATTTGAGAGCAACAAAATTTCAGCTACCATATAGATATTGTACAAGATGTTTACTAAGCTGAAAAGAGCTAAAGTAATAGTTTAGAAGGAAGCTTTTATTTATTTTTTTTTATTTAACCTTTATTTCAACAGGCAAAACAGAACAGTTTATTTACAATGTTGGCCTGACCTTGGCTTTTACAAGTATGCAGCTGCTGAAAACAAAAAAATAACTTATTTGCAACTCTTTATAAAGTAACTCAACTCTAAATAACACAAAAAGAGGATTAAAAAAAAGTTGAGCTTTTTTGTGCTTCCTACCTGCAATGAGTTTTAAATCTTTGCATTACTTAAGTCAATCTGTGGAGAGAGAAAAAAACAGCATTGAGGAAGTTTCAAAGGCCTTCAAAATTTTAAACACAAAAGGTTAGGGTTAAGAAAACTTGTTTTAAAATTAAAACACACAAAAAAACCTTCATGAGAGCGCTCAGATGTTCTCTTCTTATGAGCATTTATAAATAAATAAATATTTCTGCAAATTGTCCCTTATTTTAAATATGCCATCAAAACAAAACAAAGGTTAGATTAAATTATATTCTACAGGCAGTGTGATGCTAAATAAACCTAGCAGTCAAGCTTCACCAAGTGCTGTAATTTGTGTTTTTGGCTGCGATTATCTGAATAAGGTGCAGATCATGTTTATGTATCTATAAGCATGCAGTTGTTTTGTCTTCTCCCTTTGTATTTGTGTTTAGGTGCCCTTACCCTGACTGATCAATAGGTGTGCTTTTTAAAGGATGAATATCTTAATGACTTTCTGAATAATCTTTCCACACCCTGGACAAGGAGCGTGGAACTTATGCAGCCTCTTTGCACATGGGAAACACGTAAGAAGGTGAGCCGTGCGTCCGTGGATGATGTTCCCGTTACGCGGCCGYACTCGACATAGCTTGCAGGGCTCCAGCAACGCCTCCGGTCGCATGTTTTCCACCTCCATGCCCAAACTTTCCTGACTCTCGCCCTGGGACAGCTGCATTTGGACGCCTGATGGGCGCGGCCCCTTGCCTTTACCCATAACCACCGTGGGCAGGGGTCGGTCGGCTGTGGAGTGGGAGGGCAGAATGACGGGATCAGACACCGTTCTGCTGCAGTCGGGGACATCGACGCCTGTGTCGATGTCGTCTTCGTCGCTGTGGGTGGAAAGAGAACTGCATGCTGGGATGTCAGGGACAGACAGGGAGTGAGCGAGTCTAGGGACATCTTTGTACCAGTTTCTACGTAAAGCCCAGCAGCGGACGCAGTACCGCTGGAGAGGTGTGTTATATTTCTTGCATTCTGTGCACTGCCAGGCATCCTGGGAAACAAAGGAGACAACATTAAGTACCATATTTATTCGTGTATAATACGATCTCATGTATAATACGACCCCCCCCCCCCCATTGTTATCTTAAAACGCATAAAAAATGTAATTCTCATACTACCTCTAATTTCATATGGACTTCAGGATTTTTCAGCCTTTATATGTGTGTGTGTGTGCATATAAGTAAAATTATCATCATACAGTGGTTTGCAAAAGTATTCATACCCCTTGAACTTTTCCATATTTTGTCACATTACAACCACAAACATAAATATATTTCACTGGAATTTAATGAATACCAACATGTTTTGTATAGATG